ATAGTTAAGAAGACGGGGAAGAAACAGATGTGCCTGGGTTGTGATGTTATAAATTGGAACCTTTATGTATTGGTTTTTTTTGTAAATAAAAGGAAGTGTGAGGATAAAATGGGAATACCATGTCAATTTCATTAATCCTGAAGTGAGAAGCTCCCACAAAAGCATGAAATTGGTGCTCCGGGATTTGTAAAGGAACAAGGAGAAGATGTGCTTCTGAAAAGCTGCAGCACATTTGAGAAGCTAATCCGTTTGGTGCAGCTTGTGCTCTTAGAGCCAAAAAGCTCTTTTCACAATCTACACCAAACAAACCCTAAGAAGGCTATATTGGGTACAGCTAATGAGAAGTTGTTTTTGGACTCCAAAAGTTCTAGCTGCATCAAATACAATAATTTGTAAAAAATGCTACAATTTCTCACAAGTTAATCTTTCGTCCATTTCATTGCAAATCTTAGAAGCACTGAATTGGTGCTTCTATAGGAACTTCTTATTTGGATTTTAATGAAATTAACATATTATTCCTATTTTATCCTTATTTTTCTTTCTATTTACAAAAACAACACTTCTACAACATTTTCTTTCCAACATAACTTTTATTAAAAGCTCCAACCACACCAAATGGCCATGAAATGTACTTCCTCGGCTGTGTGTGAGTAAGTGTATTTTTCTTCTTCTTCTTCTTCTTCTTCTTCTTCTTCTTCTTCTTCTTCTATTAAAAGCTCCAACCACACCAAACAGCCATGAAATGTACTTCCTCGGCTATGTGTGAGTAAGTGTATTTTTCTTCTCACTACAAGCAAAATGCCCTATACCAATGGAACTCTATACCAACGGATAAAAAATCCATCTGTATAAATTATATATACCAACGGAAAACTTCAACCATTAGTATACACAGGTCTATACCAACAGAAAAATACATCCGTTTGTATAGACTTGGTTTATACAGATGATTTAGTGATTATCCGTCTGTATATAATATATCTATACCAACGGCAATTATTATATGTCTATATAAATATATCTATACAAACATATTAATGTTCTGTCGGTATAGCCCCCTATTTCTTTAACACTTAATTTTTTCTTTCTAATTTCAGCCTGCCTTACTTTCCCTTCCCACCACGCACCCCCAATTTCCCTCCCTTATTTCCGAGCTTCCCTCCCCAATTTCTGACCTTCCCTTCTAGCAAATCTACAAAATTTGTAATTGATTTTGCCAAAACTCAAAACCCATTCGAACCTAGCTGCAAAATTTGTTTCCTCCACTCTAATCCATCAATGACAAAGGATTGCTCACAGCCGACTGCAGGCCTGCTTGCTCTCTCCTGTTCGTCATCCATGGTACCGTCACCTCTCTCTCTCTGTTTCTATAAGATTCCATTAGGCTGCGCATGCTCATCTTTGCTATTACTAGTTTCATTTTTGCTATTACTGGTTTCATTTTTGCTATTACTGGTTTCATTATTGTTTTCCAATTGTTTGGTTTCATTCTGGTTTCAAGTTCCGATCACATCGCCGTCATCGTCATAACTTCACTATTAAATCTTCCAAAAAAACTCTCTGCCTGAAATCACTGATTCTTCTACATTCCCGAAGTAGATAAAGTAACTCAAAAGAATATTTGTAAGATATGATTATGGGCCAGGAAGAAGCCGACCAGAGAATATCACCGTCAAAGGAGTTTAGAGGAAGAGATGAGTTCCGCTCGACCATTTTCCATGCAATCTTAGCTCTCACTTTATGGCTTGGACCCATCTATTTCAACGCCTTCTTAGTCCTTATCTCGCTGCTCTTCCTCCCCCTTTCCAAGTCCCTTATGTTCATTCTCTCTCTTTCTATGTCTCTCTCTCTCTCTCTCTCGCTTTCTCTGTTTCCTTCTTTTCTAGTTCGGTTGAAAAAACAAAGTCTTCTCCTTTTCCCCTGTATTTATTCTGGGTCAAAACCCCTTTTTCGAAATTTTTTTCAGGGTGATTGGATTGCTTTTGGTTTTCATGCTCATTCTTATCTACCCTTATAGTAAATGTGACAAGCAATTGGCCAAGTATTGTTCTATGTCTGTTGTTTTCCTTTTTAATGGTGAAGTGAATGAATTTCCTTAGTCATTTCTTGAAATGAATTCTTGGACAGCTCTCCATTGGAAGAATTTCTAATTTTAGTTCAAAGTTTTATTTTTGGACTTCTCCATTTGCTGGATTTCTAATATTTCGTATTGGTGATTTTGGCTTTGATTTTCTGTATTTTTCTTTTCATTATTATTTATATGATTTTTTTAATTCTTGCCATTAGATATTCATTAAATCCAAAGAATTGTGTTGTGTTTATATATTGGGAATTGAATGTAATATGTAGTTTGACAGAGTTTTATGTTATTTAGCTTATTGGATTCTTTTCTATTTAATTTTTCATAAAAATTTTAGGATAATAAGTTATGGAAAGAGTATTAACTTGTTTTACAAAATTCTACGCATATTTCCTTTAATGAAACAATGCCATTCCACGTCTGAAGCCTCTTTTCTTTCTTTTCATCTTCCTCATCCTTGTCCTTCCTTTTTCTGTTGGATTCCCTTCATCAAAGGGCCAACTAAAATTGTGTATGGATAACAGCATACAATCAGTGAGAAAATTAGGTCCAACTACACTCATTTTACAAATAGAAAGAAATTGCAAATAACTTCATGAAGAAACACATATATGGATTTGAAAAAAATATTTAATACTTGGATGTGTCTAA